AGATTTATCCTGCCAATGCTGACACTGATATACCGCCAAGTTGGTTGGGGTAGCTTGTCTTAGCTGCTAGGGTGAGACCTGAGGTACATGCAGTGTGGGTTTTCTTGAAACCCTGAATTGGACCAAATTCCAGTATTGCCCTGGACCTTGGAGATAGATGGGCAAAACTGGAATGTTGCACCTGACCCCTAGACTCGATTATGATACTACACTAAGTGTCGGATTGGGTTGTCCTTGATACGCCAATCAGTGAGATCCTTAGAGGGAGTCAAAACCTGGGTATGTTGGGACAGTCTAAGAATTCACCTGAGTGGGTGATCATAGTGACAGGATCAACCCCTTTGTTGGACAAGAGAGTGGGTGATCATTGAAATTTGTTTTTGCAAAATATATTTATATAGAGATATACATATATATACATATATATATATATATTATGGTTTCAAAATGTTTGCAAAAGGTTTTAGTTTCCGGGATCCATGTGAGTAGAGAGTGCAACACTATACCTTGCAGCCGAGGGAGAGGTCCTCTCTTGTCAGGCAGTGTTTGATCATTATGGGCTAAGAGGTTAAGTGTAAGACCATTGAGAGTAATACCTGATGGACTAATCTTGCATCTGCCCACAGTTCTTGGGTTTTCATAAGGTGGCTGGATCCAAGAACCATTTGGTGTAAATGTTGGGCCCATTAAGAGCCCATGGTGATGGACTCAGGGGTTCATTGTCTCCTACAGTGAATTCGGCCAGGCCTTGTAACAAAGGCTGGGCTGAACCCATGTGGCTGATGTGTAGATCAATGTAAGGGTCCCACGCCATACAAAGAGAGCCAACTGGGCAACAGGTTAAGAAGTAAGTGAGCACATAAGCTTAATGGGCCTAAAGCCCAATTCGAACTGGGCTTAAGTTAGTTAATTAAAAGGGGCAAGATCTGATTTATAATCTGATTAGGATTAGCTGAAGAATAAGATAAGTCTTATCCATTTAAGAGTCCAGATCCAAATATCAAATTTGGATCAAGAAACTCTCTTGTAATTAGATTAGGAGGCTGATCCAAAGAAGACTATAAATAGGGGGCGAATTCCTCAGTTTTATACACAACAATCTGTAGAGTTCTCTCCTGTTCTTGCCATCCCTACCTTGTTCGATCTCCACTTGTGGATCTGATCAAGAAAGGTTCTTGATATTGTTTCTTGGCTGAAGAAACAATCTGAAGTCGTGCTCACCAGCCCTTGTTTCATTCTTGCTGAAGAGTTGTCCTGCTTCACCACACATTGTGTCATCTTCAGTGGAGGCGGGTTTTGGTCTTCTCCTTGGGCGTGAACACCTTCATTGGGAGTTACTGTTACTTCATATCAGGTATATCCCTCTCCTCCCTTTTGGTTTCAAATCTGGTTCGGTTTTGGATTCAAGAACGAACCTTGAAAATGCAGTTTTCTAAATCAGAGAATGCGATTCCCGAATGGGAGAAAAGAAATTTTTGAAATTTCACCCAACCTTCCTGTAGGGTTCGGCCATCCATATGATAGATCTCTCATCCCTTTAACTTTAATATACAACAAGAAGTTACAAAGAAATCAACATAGAAGCTGACCCAAGACAGAATTACAAAAGTGCCCAAAACATATATGTTCTTTGAATTCCTTTCTCTATGTTTCCGACACTGGAATACCCACATCCACCCTCACAGCATATTTGTGTCCCTCTCCACTAACATCCTACAATTCATTAGACTCAGGGTTAGCTCCCTTGGCAGAGGGGAGAGGAGCTTGCACAACTTTAGGACCAATTTCTTCACCATTTCTAGTCTTCCCGCAACCTTCATCTTCGAACTCTTCCTCTATAAACAACAGCTCTGTGTGCAAACTTTCTGTTTCAAGTAGATTATTGTTGCTTTTCAGAGTCACACTTCCCAAACAAACAATTTCATCACTATTAGAGTTGTCACTACTATCTTGTTGACTCGACCAGTCTTCGATCTCTATTCTGTTAATATCACTATGTTTCAAACATCTTGGATTGTGCCTATCAGATGAGAGATGGTTCACTGTGTTGGAAGAGACCCACTATAAAGAGCTTCGGGACTGAGAATCTTGAGACCTTGCACCTGATATGTTTGATCGATAGGAGGGATTCGAAGTAGAAGAAGATAGACAATTGTTATCGTCCATCAATTCATCCCCCCTCCCAGTCACGTGAGTACTTAAAAGGGTCCCTTGGCTCATCTATCCTGGATTGGGCCTTGGGCTCGAGCCTTTCAAATGGAGCACCCGAGTTGGTGGACTTTACTTGGGCTGCCATTATCGGCCCAACAGGAATGGAATCCACTCGAATGGGCCCACTTCCTAATTCTTTTCCTCCCATGTGACTTTTTAAGAGGTCATGTCCCACATGTTTTAAAAGTCAAACCAGCAACCTTCCCTTTTGAACCAGTCTGAGGTTGTTGGTTCAAGCCCCCAACTTTTACCAACTTGAAAATTTTTGTCTTTTTCCCCTAAAGCCACCTGCGAATATGATTTGCCAATTGTCAAAGGGTTTCCTTGCTCTCTACGGGTTTGACCTCCCATCTGCTCCAATTCTTTTTGGCTTCCCAGAAGTAGTTGGCCCTTTTTAGTGAAACATTCCTTCCCATTTGAACTAGCCAATCTCGTAAATCCATGTAGAGATTCTTCTTCCTCCTTTTCACCGCCTTCCATGTGAGCCTCCTTCCACAACCTTGCTTCAATGGAGGATGCTAGCCACACAGAGACGAAACTCCCCTCTATTCGTACCTCTACCTTTCGTGGAATATCTTCTGGCTTCACACCACTTAGCAGAATTGCTGCTGAATGAAGATCACCGCAGAATGATCCTTCTAAGCGTCCTCCACACATCAATGCTATAGAATTTGCTACTTCTTGTTTCCACAGATGAAATGGCAGGCCTATTACACGCACCACCACACCATCTTCAACAAAGAAGTCCTTGGAGTTAGATGTTGGACTCCATTTGAAAACTGTGAATGATCCGAACTCAGCCTAAATATTGAGAGCTGATATTTCCACTTCATTCTCTACTGGATCTAAGAGGGCTTTACAGTTATCGAAGGGGGTTACTATGAAGACTCTTTTCAGCTTTAGACTAGTTGTCAGTAAATCAGCTACCCTCCTCCTTCGTTGTGACCACATATATCCTCTCTCATTCTTCCTTGATTCCTTCCAGGCCTCCAGAGACAGTTTAGGCTCTGCAGACGAGAACCACACTGAGTCAATCAGGTCTGTTCCACTCAACTTCTTCCGTATCCCTGCAATGGCGTCTGAGTTGCAAACTTCTGCCTTCTCTTCCAATTTCTTTTCTAAGACTTCTACATTTCCCCCAGGCCCCTCATTTATCTTACTCAGTTCACCTGTTAAAGGCAGGAAGTGCTGAAAGGCTTCCACTACCTGTTTCCAGTCCACACTTTGTTTACCTTCAAAGATAAAGACCAGCCTTTTCTTTCCAGGATTGAAGAACTCAGTCAGTGTTACGTAGGCTTCACATCTATTCTCCATAACCTCCACCCAGTAAGTGGTATTGCCCTCTTTGTAAGAGACTATACAGTTTACATGCCTTTGTGAGTGGATGGCTCCCTCTAGAAAACCTTTGAACCACAACATTTCTTTCCCCTTCAGCAATACTATTGCCTTCAAGTGTTCAATGAATTTCAAGATAACCCCTCTTTGAGAACGATGGTATTGGCCTCAAACCCTGAATTTCTTTCTCCAAACGTTAGCATGAATGAAGCTCCTCTCTGTCTCCATTATCACAGGTCCAGTTTAAGAACGCCTACAAAGTTAACCACAGATTCTAGTGCAGAATTCTAGGGCTCTCAACTGCAGAAAAATTAAAAGACCAAAAAGGCACAAACGAATCAAATACATAGAAATTCCAAGAATTAATTTTATTTCCACATCTCATTTGGTGGACGATATAACAAGCTTGACAAAAATCAGAATCATCATTGGGTGAAGACCAGGATGAAGCTTCCTAATTCCTATATTCTCTACAGATGACACCCTCAGGGACTGGTTTATATGGCCTTAATGTCCACGAGAAGGGATATAAACACACTGGATAGGTCACTCCCACCATATAACATGTGAAAGCTAACTTTTGATGAAAAGCAGCATTGAAATCCTGGACAATCAGCACTAGGAAGTGCTGTCAAAAATCATAAAAGATATCTTGTTGGATCATTCGGGTCTAACTGGAGAAGGAAACTCAATTAAAGTGGAATTTCTAGTGGTAACTCAAGGATTAAGACTGGCTAATTCAATGGCATGTAGAAATCTGATTGCGGAAGGCAATTGAAAATCAGTAATCAGTTGGCTGAAGGAAGAATCTGCAGGTCGAAGGCATCTACAATATCAGATCAGAGAAGCAAATAATCTTATGGGTGCCAAGGTCAGCAAATAATCTTGCTGATATACTGGCCAGGAAGGGAATTAATGGACAAGAATCAATTTGGGGGCATATCCTTTGAATGAAATTAAGTACTGCTTGTACCTCTGATTCTGTTTGGAGTTGTTGATTAGCTCTATACTGTTAATAACTCATTGTAATTATTTGTATATTATTACTTCTCTATTAATAAAGTTTTCAGTTACTGATGCAAGGTGCCAACCAGCTGGTTGGTAAGACCTGCTTGTCGTAGCGGAGACTTGGAATCGAATCCCGCCTGCACCTGGGTTGGGGGATGGGCTACCCCCCGTTGTGTAGCCCTTCAAAAGAAATAAAAAAAAAAAATCAGTTACTGATCAAAAGTATTGCTTCTGCAACATTTTATTTGATGACTGAATGGGGTTTTCTCAATTGTATGGATCAAGAACATAAGATGTATCACCATATGCAAATATACACACTAAATTCAATCAGTAGTTTATCCAAATTTCAGTTATACCAGTAATGATGGAAGGTGCAGAAACTACAATGATACTTTTAAAAATGAAAAGAAAGAAAACAACTTATAATAGAGAGTAAGACATACTTGGTTGACAAGAAGTTTTGAAATAGAACTCTGATGAGATCAAGACCCTGTCTAACTCTGCGTAAATTACGTGAAAGGCTCCCTGGCTTTTTCACAGTATCATTTTTAACATCGTGATCAAGTACATTCTTTAATGTATCATAAGTTTTTGATGCTTCTGTTAAATCATTTACCTGAATAATCAAAGCATTAGATCCTGCCAGGATGTTTGATTTAGAAATAGGAGAGATTATAAAGCAATGATCAAAACGTGTAGAGAAAAAAAAAAAAAAAAAAGAAAGAAAACTTCCATATCATGAATTGCATTGAACTTATTAGTTTAGAAGACAAGCTCAACGAAGAATTCAATCAGAAAGTTTAAATTCCATTCATGTTAGAAACTGTATAAAGATAATTGAAATTTCCTATCTGCAAATAAGAATAAAAAATGGTCACATTACATGTCAAATATTGTATTTAAACTGGATGGCACTTAATAAAGAGGGATAATGCAAGGTCAAGTCATAAGATTCTCCACCCATAATCTAATCAGAATCTGATGGCAAAGAAAACTGACACATAAAGAGTGAACATAACTGTTCTGCACGGCTGCACCAAAGAATCAATGCTTAAGTGTCATAACAGAAAACAGAATTACAAAAGTGCCCTTAGCATAATATAATAAAAACATAACTCAACACTCACCCTGGATATATATATATATATAATAAGTGTGAATGTAATGTGGAACTTTTTTTGGACTAAAATTACCCTCTATTTCTTTGTTTGAGAAAGGGTATAAAAGTTATTTTATAACTTTAATGTCAGCTTTAATAGCTACTAAGATGCCTATATTTGTGTATTTAATCCATTTCTAATTGTAAGAGTTGAAAATGCCACTTCAATTATTACTTGCCACCTCATTTAATCCCCTCTCATTAAGTCTTATACTTAAGGTATTAAATCCCATTTCTCTCATTAAATCCTATATTTTTAAGTTATTTTTCACTAACAAATGCTACTAATTATATCTATATCAACATTTTTAACAATATAAACCCATATATTTTAAAACTGATTTAAAAACAAAACCATTTTTTATTCAAGTTGTGGCACAATTAAACCATCCAAATTAAATTAATCAAACTACGAAGTCATAGCAAGGTAATGAAAATTTTAAAATAAAAATAAATATAGAAAAGTTCAAAAAAAATATAGAAAAATAGATACATATAAGATATTTTTATTAACCAAATGAAAAAATAAGTGTAATAAACAAGAATTATTTTTATTGAAAATAAAAATCAAATACATAATTTAGAACTAAACAGAAATGAAAAATAAAAATTAATAATAAATAGTTTAACTTTTGGGTTAAATGTGTTAACCTTTAATGTCATAAATAAATAATAAAAATTAATAAAATATCAAAACACAAAAATAAAAAATACATAAATTTTGCAAAAATGAATGCAAGCACATGTATAATATCAAAAATAAGTGTGATATATTAAGTTATTTTTAGACACAAAAATACAAAAAAAAATTGTAGAAAAAATGAACACATCTATAATTCTATATTTACACTACTATTAAAAATATGAACAAGATTGTGAAACTTTCTTTTAACTAAAATACTAATTTTTGAATTTAATCTGTATTTAATTATAAGGCATAAATTGTAAATTGAACTACTACTTTTCACCTCATTCAATTCCCTCTATTTAAATCTTACATTTTTTTTGATAAATGAACAAAAGAAAAAATGACACACCAAAAAGATAAAATACTACAAAAAGAATAGTCTAACCAAGTAGGTAGGCCTATCAATGATACATGAAACTTCATAACTCAATCCGATTATCACATATTTGGATGAAGTATTTATGCAATCAGATTTGGCTTTCGCAATTCGCATCCGATTAATAATAAAAAAACATAAAATATAAAAATGAAAAATAAAAAATACATAGAATTTATAGAAAATTTTGGATATATTATTACTATCATTATCATCACCTAGAATTGCCACGTGCAAAGCACGTGCACACTTACTAGAATGCCTATATTTGTGTATTTAATCCATCTCTAATTGTAAGGGTTGAAAATTTAACTTCAATTATTACTTGCCACCTCATTTAATCCCCTCTCATTAAATCTTATACTTAAGGTATTAAATCATATTTTCTCTTATTAATCCTATTTTTTTAAGTTATTTTTCACTAATAAATTCAACTAATTAGATCTACGTCAATATTTTTAACAATATAAACCCATATATTTTAAAATTGACTCGAAAATAAAACCATTTTTTATCCAAGTGGTGTGTTAAGCAATTCAACCATCTGAATCAAATTAATCAACCTATAAAGTCATAGTTAGGTAATAAATTTTTTAAATATTGTCTCTATGTCAATATTTTGGGTTAAATGTGTTAACCTTTAATGTCATAAATAAATAGTAAGGACTAATAAAATATAAAAATACATAAATTTAAAAAAAAACATTCAAGCACATGTATAATATCATATATTTATCATATTAAATAAAAGGTAAGTGTGATATATTAGAATTATTTTTACACATGAAAATACAAAAAAGAATTGTAGAAAAATTGAACGCATCAATAATTCTATATTTACACTACTATTAAAAATATAAATAAGATTGTGGAACTTTCTTTTGATTAAAATACTCATTTTTAAATTTAGTCCTTATTTAATTGTAAGGCTTAAATTGTAAAGTAAACTACTACTTCTCACCTCATTCAATTCCCTCTATTTAAATCTTACTTTTTTTGATAAATGAACAAAAGAAAAAAGATATACAAAAAAAAGACAAAACACTACCAAAAGAAGAGCCTAGCCAAGCAGGTAAGCCTCTCAATATTACTTGAAACTTCACAACTCAATCTGATTATCACATATTTGGATAAGGTGTTTGTGTAATCAGATTTAGATTTTGCAATCTACATCTGATTAATAAAAAAACAAAAAATAAAAAAAATACATAAAAGTTATAGACAATTTTGGATATATTATTACTATCATTGTCGTCATCTAGAATTTCCATGTGCACGCTTACTATATATATATATATATATATATCAAGTCCATCTTGTCACAAAGTTCATTGTGCTGCAAGTAGGGATGCCCCTTTTTGAGAACATCAGCAAGTTGTTTCTTTGAACTAACACAAGGAGCACAAACTTCACTCTTCTCAAGTTTCTCCCTTATAAAGTGCTTGTTAACTTCAATATGTTTCCCTATCATGGAGGACAGGATTGGTAGCAATATTTATGGCCGCGTTGGCACAATATAGAGACATAGGGTTGTCAACCTTAAACCCAAGTTCCCCCAACAAATTCAAATTCTTTATCCAAAGCACATCAGCCACTTCATGGGCCATAGCCCTATATTCGGCCTCAACACTTGATCTCATAACAACATTCTGCTTCTTACTCCTCCATGTCATTAGGTTTCCCTGCCTAGTTAGCATCAGTGTAGACCTCCACCTTCAAATGATTGTGTTTCCTAAACAACAAGCCAGTTTGCTTTAAGTACTTGAGAACCTTCTCTACAACTTCTAGGTGAAGAACCTTGGGTGAAACCCCTCTACAGCTTAGTTAAGGGGCAGAGGAGCTTTGTCCTAAACAACATCTCAATAATGGATGATCCTTTTAAGGGGCATCTCATATTTGCATGCACAGATACAGATGTGGACCAATGACATGGATAGAGAAACAGGGATATGATTCTCCATTTCCTAAAATCCTGGACTCGGATATGGGTATGAGTATCCTATGTAATATGCTTATATCATGCGTTTATATCTAGTTTCTGAAGCTAGATGTCATTTTTAAAGACTTTGCCAAATTTGATCAAGTTTCTAACATGTGCAGATTGTTTTATAGTATAATTTGTAAAAACATACCATTTTACATATTTTATAAGTGTTAATGCTATAAAGTACATCTAGAAGTATCCGTTGTATCTGAAATGGGTACACTAGCCATGTACATCCAGGTATTATGGCATCTCATTTTTGGTATGCTAAAAAAAGTTTCACTGGTGAAAAATAAAGCTGGACCTGTACATGAGGGAATATAATTTCTATCCAAAGCATATCCTGAGTGAGACCTGAAATTAAATCTGCCATATTAGAAAAAACAAAGGTAGCCCAAGAAGGTAAAATATAAGATCATATCCAATCTTCATCTTCCAATGCATCTAATCCATGGAATCTGCTATGCGAAAAAGGAGAACACTAGACGCTTGGCCTCCCAATAGAGATCATATCTGAAAATTGCTTTGCTATTTAATTCAGACTGGCAGATAATCACTTTTTCACAAACGCTATAAGTAACAATCTCGAAACCAAAACCTGAGGTCTTTAATAATGTCAAAATCAATTTTTTTGAATGTTGATGCGAGAAAACTGGAGGTTTTTTATGGGAATAAATATTACATACTTATGACCTATTGCATTTAACATCCGAATCGAAATCTCAATATTCTCAAAATATCACTTGGTCAATGAATCATATTGCAATTGATGAAATGATGGTATTGAATCCTGTACAAGCATCTAAGTCAAATAATCAATGTGCATTGGACATTTTGGGATTGACACCAAAATAATAATAAAAGTTGAAGTTGGATTAGGTCTAAATATATTGATAGCAGCAACAAATGTGCAATGCAACATTCCTCATTGGCATCTATTGCTTCTTTTAGATGAGATAGCTTATTGTATGTACCTTCAACTGTGTACTCTTCTGTTTAAATATTGCAAACTCTTTTGCAATAGCAACTTCATCTGTGGATAGTCCTACCTGACTGTGCCAAGCTCTGAAGAAGGATTTTAGTTGAAAAGAGATCTTATTTTGAAAATTATATAAAACTTATGGCTTATTATAACTTAAAAGGGGAGCTAGCTATTTTAATTTCAAATCGATGTTTGCATAAATGAGAACGAACGCTTCTTTTATTGCATGGTACAAACTGCATCTCAGAGCTAGAGGGTAGTCAAGTTTTCCATCATGTTCAGTGTATTCAAGAATTCCTGATATAGGATAAAAAAAAAAAAACGCAAAATAGGGATGCCTTTTACAAGAAAAATCAAATCAACAGAATACAGAACTGGAAAAGTGGTATATAAATGAAAAGATATAAACGTAGTTAAAATAAAGAAGGGGAAAAGAAGAGCTCTTATCTTTTATCTTTCGATTTCTTTTGGAAAGCAATCTAAATAAACAGTAGGAGGTTAAAGAACCAAAATGAGACGGAGAGAAGGAAAGAGAACCTTAGAAACGTACTCCGACTCGGCAAATTTGAAAGCGAAACCAAGGCAGCCAAAGAGAACGGAAACGAGGGAGCAGGCGCTGCAGAAGGGTTCCAATCGAAGGTCATCGGAGCTGGTGGCGATGGACTTGGCGAGCTGTTCGAACGCCTCTGCTATCACGGATAGGGGCGTTTCTGCGGCATCTTCAAATGATTCTTCTTCTTCATCCATCATTTTGGTATTCTTGCTCATCCATCACCTTACTACTTGCTTTCTTTTGGGTTTTGATGGATCAGAAAGATAATGCTTGCAAGTATGGGAAAGGCCGAGAGAGAGAGAGAGGTGAAATTGTACAGAGATTCCGAACAAAGACATTACAGAAGGGAACACAGAAGCGAATGGTAACCATCTTCTTTCCTCTATCTCTCGTCGAAAGGGGAAGAAGAAGAAAGGGCGGGAACGAAGGGCCATAGATGGCTGAGTCTGCTACAGTTGCGGGGGGCTCTCTCAACCAAACAAGTGCCTGTGCCGCGAACCAGAATGGCAGCGTGTTTGAAATGCGATGTGAATTATTTTATTTAATTATTTCGCCCAAATAACGCCATTGGGTCCATAGCTCAGTGGTAGAGCATTTGACTGCAGATCAAGAGGTCACTGGTTCGAACCCGGTTGGGCCCTAATTTTCTTTTTACTTCCCCGCAACGAGACTTTTACTCATATTTTTGAACTTTGATTGCAAGACAATTTCATTTGCATTAATACAAATGCATGGGAATGCCTGGTTTATTTTTGTTTTGGATTTTACTTTATTCTGCTTCATGTCTGAATTTGCACCCAAATCCTTTGCACATTGCACCACCATAGTTTTGCATCGGTGCAAATTCATTGCACTGCAACCAAACGCAGCAAAAATTTCCTCACAAAGACATGCTTTGATTTGCGAATTGCGATATAAAAGGGCTGTCTCGTTAGTCACTTGGTAAATTCTCTCAAACTTTAATTGCTCACATATTGCATTTACACCTATAAACCACGCTGACATTCTTGACTGCATAGATTCATTTACAGCCCAAGATCTCAACCTAATTCCATCTTTATAAGACAATCAATCAACTACACCCCACCGGCGAGTTCGACTCCCCCTTGAGACTCATCCTCTTTTCGACGGAGCTGGATTGGCTTGAATGTATATAACTTTGCACATAACAAGTAGTACACCAGATTCAAAGCCTGCAAGACTGTGATCAACCAGTAGAAATACTCCAGTTTTCCTCTGTTGATGTTTTTGTCTGGAAGCCAGTTTGATCCCCCTGGGCCTGCACTGAACTTGTGCACGACTGTGACCAGCAGCGTACTGATGTAATTCCCTGCCGATATGGACGTCCAAAAGAGAGCCGTGGCTGTGCTCCTCATGCTCTCTGGTGCCTGATCATAGAAGAACTCGAGGTGCCCGATAGACATGAAGGCTTCAGCTATCCCATGGAGGCTATACTGTGGGATGAGCCAACAGACTGTAATGGGAATGGTGGAATGCGGGTTGTCCATGAGGCCATGCACTGAAGCAACGTGTTTGCGTTTGATCTCAACGAACCCAGCAACAAGGGTGGCTAACAGTGAGATGATGAAACCGATGCCCATGCGCTGTAGGAAGGAGATGCCCCTGTCAAGGCCGGTGAATCGACGAGCAATAGGGACGAGTACGCGATCGTAGATGCTGATTGTTGTGAGCATGGAGACAATGGTAAAGACGGACATGGAGCCTGGGGGAATTTGGAAGGAACGGACGATGTGCCGATCCATGGTTCGAGCTTGCTGTAGGGAGAACGTGTTTTGCTGTGCGTAAGCTGTGATGAGCAGGATCCCAGCCGCCCATATTGGTCCCATTCGAATCAGTGATTTCAACTCTTCAACCCGGTGGACTGTACTTAGCCTCCACAGGTTGGGTGTTGATGAAGCTTTGACATTATCTTCTTCCGTCACGATTGCGGCCTTGTCTAGGAACCTGCGTTGAGTCTGCTTGCTCATCAGGAAGCTAGCTAACAAATGAAATCGATCGATTCAATTCTTTCTGCCTAGCTAAAACTAAAAGCACTGTTTCTCAACTTATCTTTGTGAGTCTACTACTTGATTAATCCAATGAAGATCAAAAGAGAGTAAGTGGGTTCTGCCTAAAAAAAAACATTCATGTCAAGTCTTTAATACCATCGACTGATCAAATCACTAGATGGGTCAAAACTCAAGAGTTAAAAACCAAGCCAAGGTGGGTATGATATGAATTTCCATGCCTATCCAGTACTATATCAAATTAATTTACAAAAGGACTTTTTCTTTTCTTTTCATTTTTTAATTTCATTTGGATGGGACCCATTCAATGATATGTCCCAATCCTCTGAAAGCAAGACACATGGCAAAAGTACAACTCCCTACACGCTTCGACAGGTCTCCATAAGTGTGCTCTGCTACGCAAGGACTGAACCAAGAGGACTATAAGTGTAAAGTGTGCTCTGCAACTGGCTCCAACTCTTGTCCAACAGGGAGCTAGAGTTCGACTGCTGGAGCACGACCTGGTCTATGTAAGTGGACATAGACTTCACTTTGATCAGACCCATTAACGACCAAGATGGGGCCAACCCACCACTTGGATAACCAAATGGCAAGCATATAGGCCAATGCAGAGTTAACAAGTGACAAGTTTTCTTTTCGGTGAGGATAGGGCCCTTTCCTTGACAAAGGGCAAACCGACACACACAAGCCTTTGTTGTTTTCCATGATGGTACTTTGGCACATCTCTTGATACATGGCTGATGATCCGTGGCCTGAAAATCATACCAACTGGACTCAAAACATCTTATTGTCTTTTAGCCCCAACACCTCCTTGATCCGAAGGCTGAGATCTTGGTGTCAATAAAATTAAATTTGTCTTATGTTTGATATAAAAGAATCTACCACCGACTGAATTTTCATTGGAATTTGGAAGACGTGAGTTATCATCTAAAGGTGTGGGTTTATGGAATATGCCTAGTTCAGGAAGATGCCAAACATCTTTATTATCTGAAGAAAAAATAAATTGATCACCCCAATTTTAAACTCAAATTTTACTAAAATGTTGAACTAAAAGTTCATGATCCCAAATTATTTCTAGTACTGGCTTAGTGGCTTTAATTTGTTAATCTATTGCAAGTTATGGTATAATAAAGATTTAATAAAACGCAAATCATTTATGACTATGCAATTTGGCATTGCATTTGTTAAAAATTTTCAGAACATTTTAAATGAATTATGAAAGTGTTGGCAGTGGAAAGAAATTTCAAGGAATTAAAGGAATCTTTCTCTTATAAGAAAGATTGGTAGGGCAAGCGAAAGTTCAAAGAAAACTAAAACAAAATAATAAGACTTTAGGCTCAATTTGAAAAGAATATAAATACCAGTGCAAAGAAAAATAGTGGAGAGAGTAAGATGAATATAAAAACTGTCTTAATTCTATCTCTTTTGGTAAAAGAAAAAAAAAATTACCTTTCTTATTTTTTTCTTTCTTTTGTCACCTGAGGCTCAGTTTGGAAGGAAAACAAATATAAATATGTAAAGTGCAAATCATTTGTACTCTTCCCAAACTGAGCCATAGCTTGCAACGGGATTAACATAATATCATTATCTAGAATTATATATAGATGGAGTTCACATATTGTACTGTTTTGTTCAACGATGGGTCAAATGGGTATCTCTCTCAGTGTCTCCCTCAAATAATAATTGAACCTTCCCCTAAAAATGAGGTCTCTCTCTCTCTCTCTCTAAATTATTGCCGAAACCTCGACAAATAAATATATTAGAAAGAATAAAAAAATATGTATAAGAAAATGATTAACTCACGTGAATTGTTTACTGTGGAGAAGCTTCCCAGTAGCAGAAATGGAGGCATCTAGCTCCTCGTTCTGGTAGAGCAATGCGGGATCAGAAACCTTTTGCAGCTTTCTTTTCCTAAAGGCTGCTACAACTACCTGCACCAAGCGGGTGAAGGGACTCCCGGCGGGATCCAAGTTCCGATAGAGAGGATAGCCAACGATGAACGTGATAATGGACAGAAACATGGCGATAGTCGGGATTCCAAACCCCCATCCCCACCCGATATTATCTTGAATGTACACAATCACTGTCACCGCCACAAGGATGGAGACGCCCATGCAGAAGTAGTACCAGTTGAAGAACTTCCATGTGCTAGTCTTTTGCTTGGGATCCGTCTCATCGAATTGGTCTGCACCAAATGCCACCACGCAGGGACGAATTCCGCCGGAGCCGATTGCCGTCAGTAAGAGAGACACATAGAGGATGGCTAGCTGGCCGGCGTCAGCCTCCTCGCACACCTCGTTCCCTTTGCATGGCGGTGGCCTTAGCTGTGGAAGGATTGCTGATACAGTCAAGCTTGTCATTCCCTAGACACACATATTAAGACAAAGTTACTACCATATATAAACAGATGTTTTTAGTTCTGATACATGGATGAGTTCTTCTCTTATCCATCGGCGAAACGTTAAGGTCAGAGTCAGACAGTGAGATGTGTTCTCTTATCTGCTACTTGTCTGTCTGAAACTTAATTACTTGATGGTGGATCTTCTCAATCTCACACGAATGCAAATTTATGTCTGACCCGTTTTGTTTCTTTGCCATTAAATGCTATAAAGATTAATTGATTTTGCTACAAGACGAAACTTTGGACCTCTAACCCAGATGACACCAGGATCAAAAGCCAGTGCTTTTTAGCTCTCCTTGGCCGACAAAGGAAAAAAGAGACCCACGAAACATCTATCGATCAGAGGAAGGCAGTAAAAGAACTAAAAAAGTTGAATCATGTAAAGATGATTACTTGGGTTTCCTAAGTGATCATTTGGCTCTACTTTGTAATGGGTCTAAATCATTTTCTTCTCTTCTCCACACACACATAAACACACACGAGAAAGAGATGAGGATTAATTGCTAGCTCTTAACTATTTGGTATATAATAGACGCCACCGTTATCGTCCAAAAGCGGCCGGCGAATGAATCTGCGATGAAGGCTCCGAGCAAGGGTGTCAAGCTTGCAGTTCCCCCAAAGTTGGTGAGAGTGTTGGCTGCCTTGGTCAGAGGCATGTGTAGCTGTTGTGTCAAGTAGCTAATCATATTGGCAGCAAAGCCGACCACAGCCAACTTCTCACAAATTTCATTAGCTGCACCCATCAAAAACAAAACTTGCATCAGAATATTTGATGACCATCAAACCCCCCACAATAAGCAAAACAACATCAAAACGATGGTGAAGATGATGAATTTTCATGAAAAAGCACTGTAAAAAGAAGGCTTACAGAAGATGAAGGGCATTGTTCTGATCCCTCCCTTTCTCCATTTGGCGAGACTGCTTGTCTCCTCCATTTCTCTTTTTTCTTTGCTTAACTCATCTCTCCATTCCCACCCTCACCCCTTATTTATAGAACGTGTGAAGGTTATAAACAGTAAATGGCGGTGCTTGTATTTTTCTGTGTAACGTACAGTACTGCCATTTCCACACTTCCATGTCCACTCCACAACTAATTCTTGGATTACATGATTCTTTTGTAACAAATGTAATTAAGTAAGATTTATTAACTACAATACAGGTAATGTTAGAGAATTAGAGTGATAAAATCCAATTAAATCAGGGGATTTGTGTTGGTTCAATCCTTTCTTTGCTTCTCTCTTTCAGTGAAAGTTTAGGGAGGTGGATTGAATTATTTTTATTTTTTCATAAATGCATTGTATTGTATATGTGTGGACCTTATTGGTTGATCCATGGGAGAAGAATCTTTGGGACAATATGAAAAGTGATAACAGACGAGTAGACGTGCCATGAAGAAGGACAGCACCAGGACCGTCCTATGGCTGGCATCAAAAGGGACAAGCCGGCACGATGAGCACACATTCACACAGGCTGCGCCATCCCACTTCGGGATACTTTTGCTTGGTAAATGGACTGGGCTTGAGCCCATCTTGTAGGGCCTAGTCTCTATTAGTTCCATGAAAAACAAAAAAAGAAATACAAGAGTCAGTTCACTATTTGATGGTTGGTATATTTAATAAAACATAAAACATAATGGAGACTATGTACAGAGATGTGGAGGGTGGGGCTTTATCCCCATGGCCTATGAGCTATGGCCCATAACTGGTCTAGAATGGACTTGTAGATGTTATGGGCTGTTCTTTTATGGACCTTCAGTGAAGATTTTTGCTCTTCTTCTAATTTCTTACTTTCCAGTTTCCAAGGACAGAGTAAATTCTTTCATAGCTGGATAGGCAATGAAAGCGGAGCCTGAATAAAATTATCACCCCAGTCCCAGTACATACCCATGCTTCATCCTTCTGAAATGCCGTAGAGAGAGAGTTTTGTATTTAAATAAAGAATCTTTTTTCACGCTATGCTCCCAACGCCTATTTCAGCACAGCAGTAACTGAGAAGCTGCATGTACCGTAATATTCACATTCACATGCAGTGGCAGGCAAGATTGGCGTAAAACTGTGCAATTTTGTATCAACTGCTGCACGTAAATGCAGGATTAGCGTAAATCAGAGGAAAAAGACAACGAAAACGAGAGACAAAAAGGACACATCCTTTAAGGGCTCTACAGTTTGCATATAAATTAATGCAATTCATAGTGAGTAATTTTGTTCTTCTGCTATTCCTCTATTATACAAGCAAGCAAACCTAGAAAAGATGGTATTTTTCACAATTTTCTCCGCTTGGACTAAGGAGAAAATCCATTACAAGAGTTCTGTACTAGTTCGTGGAAATCTTGAGGGGGTGGTGGTGAATTATCCCCAGAAAAGCTGAGTTTACGTAACGCCTGTGAACTGTAGTCGGATGACGCCAGAGGTTACGCATGAGCTGCCACATGTTGGACGGAGGGACCCGGACAACTAATTGCCATGTTTGTCTGATTCTAGGGTTCTACTTTCCTATCTCTCGAGCTGTCCATAGACGGAGAACCAGGACACATGTCGGGTTATCTTATTATTTAATTCACTATTGGATGTCATTTTGAATGTTTTGCTCAGGATGAGATGATAACAAATTTGGAGGAAAAAAAGTCTCGGGAAAAAGGGGGGAAAGAGTTTTTCCTCTCATTCAAATTAACTCTGTCACTGTGAATTTGAATTATACTGCCCATTCCAAGCGGGACTCAGTGAGAAGGTTGCATAGATTTGGCAGTGACATTAAAATTTTTGTCAAATTCTTGTGGCGATCATGGATTCTGAATGTCTTCATCTGAATAAAACGAAATGAATGGACAGGATTCACTTAGCCAAATCCCTATACTTGGGAACTTGGGAACTTGGAAATTTGGCCCGACCTCGCGATCGCCCAACGCGTGGCAAAGGCAAGCAGCTCGGGACAGTAGAGCACCCAAAGCGAACATCGGAAGCAAGTCCAAACTCACTACCGAGCCCCAACTCCAGATCGTTGTGTTTAGTCCGAGCTCCTTGTTAAGAGCGAACTCCCTGTTAAGTGTCCAAACTCCCTAAAGAACCCGAGCTCCCTAAAGAACCTGAGCTTCCTAAGTCCAAGCTCCCTACTAGGAGCCCGAGCTCCCTGATAAGAGCGAGCTCCCTCCTGAGAACCCGAGCTCCCTGCGAGGAGCACGAACTGTACTG